ATGAAAAAAAAAAAAAAAAACAACATAAAATGCATTTTTAAAAACGTGTCAAATTAGATCTGAGAAATTTTGGTAGAGCATTATTTTTAATCAAGTTAATAATTGACATCCTCATTCTTTAAAACTTGCTTTTAATGAAGAAATCAATTAAAATAGAAGCTAATGATAACTATTTATGACGAACAAATTTATATTGATATTATTATTAATTTTTATTGAATTATTTAATTAAAGTTAACATTATTCTTAGTTATTAATATTATTATTAATAATATTTATTTAATAAATGTTATTAATATATATGACTAATAATAATTATTAAATTAATAATTTAAATAATGTTAATAATCATTATTAATATTATTGTTAATATTGATTACTTAATTAATAATATTTATATATAAATAATAATATATAATTAATAATTATTTAATTAATAATTCAAACAATATTTAAAGTTATTATTAATATTACTATTGAAATTACTGCTAATTATTTTTATTGAAATGGTTTTAAAAGAAAGTGATGACAACTAAATTGTCACCGACACAAAGAATTCCGATCTTTAGAGAAAAAGGAGCCAAAAGTTGCGCCAAGTGTTTGTGCCGTCAGAGAGAGCGCAAGAAAGTGTGACGGAGGTTGTGTGATGAGAAAGGGATGAATGTAAAAAACGTCGTAGTAATTGTGATGCCTTTGGATTAACACTCTCGATTTTTATGTGTAGCCATGCCGTTCATATTCCTTCTACTTTTAGAACATTTCGTGACAACATGTAGCAGAGGTAAGGCATATATGTCATTATATGGCACATTATAAAATCCCGCATTATTATGAATATTTTATATTTCTCTCTTCTTTCTAAAACTTTTTCTTCATTTTAAAAATAAACCTTGCGATGTTTACCCTATTTTGAGAAATGCTTCAAAAAATGACTTACATTTTTAATCATAAGTTTTTTTTTTTTAATGCAATCAAACCCCGTTATAGTGAAACTTCAAGGGACCGAAATTTCAGTTCACTATATCCGTAGTACAAAACAGTTTTAACTAATTTTTCCGAACTGCTCCCTCTTATTGAACATTATATAAGTAAATGCCCAATAAACTGAAATACAAAAATGATTAAAAAATAATATGTAGTAGCAAGTAATGTGTGAACTTTTATGTTTTATTACTTTTCCTCTTGTTTACAAAATATTTAAGGATGAGAAACTGAGATAGAAGAAGCAAAACAAGAAAAAACATTTTATGGCTACATTCCTCTCAATAGATGATTTTAAAAATTGGTAAATGTATTTTATTTAGAAATTTCAAAATAACCAAAAAATGAAGAAAGGAAATTAGTTGAAGACAGAAAAAAGTTCATAATATAAAATTTCCTCTCTTTCTTTTGGTTCCACTATATCCGCAAAAAAATATTATATGTATATAGCAAGGCACGGGAGCGAACATTTCGTTCACTATACCTGGGAGTTTACTATAAACCATGTTCACATAACTTCAGAATGAAATATCGAATTGAATCAATTTTGAACAAGAAACATATACAAGTAGGAAACATATAGAGTTTTTTTTATTTGTGATTTGATTCTAATCATTCGGTACACTCTAAATTATGGTGATTTCTTTTTTAAGGAAAAAAATAAATAATTTAATTTGGAAATTCGAGAGGAACATTTATTCAGACGATACTTTTTTTTTTTTTTTTTTNTTTTTTTTTTTTTTTTTTTTTTTTTTTTTTGAGAAATTAATATTTGAGACATGTTTGTAATCATTCCATGTGCCCTCACGTTAGTGATTTTTATGAAAATAAATTTCTTATCAAAAGTTTCGAGGGACTGAAATATTTTTTTTTATACTTTTTGGATCAAAAATACTTTTTGGATCAAGATGAGTGGACTATTTTGAAATTCGTCTCAGTTTAACAGAATGACGCAACAAGAGAAGATGGTTTTCTTAACTTCTTTTTGTTTAGGAGACAGTTTTTTCTAATTTTGGTGTCATGAGGGAAAAAAAACTATGAAATTAAAATTCTAAAATGAAAAAATTTTATTAAAATAATTTTTTAAGGAATTTTTTTTTTTTTTTTTTTTTTTTTTTGCAAAGTTTAGGAATTTTTTTATAGCGAAATCAGAACTTTTACAACCTTAATTTTTTCGCGCAATTTTAAATATTACAAAAAAAAAATCAAGACAGTGTTTTTATTAAAAGTTGTTTTTAGTCAAATTATTTGGAGATTTTTTATATAATAAAAACAAAGCTACTTAAACTCAATTTTTTTTTCTCATGATGTTAATTTCCATAATTCTCATTACAAAAAAAAGTAAGATGTATTTTTTCGGTCATTGAAAAAGTACAAGTGATTTTCAGTCAAAATATTCTTTATTGTAGTGGAACAACAAAGTTCCTCAATTATTTTTATTCTCATCATAATGTTAAATATCCTACTTTTTAACATTAAACAAATTTGATTTTCTTCTTATTTTCTTAATTGTTCTCAACCGAAATACTAATGTTGACAATATATAAATTACGGTAAATGTGATTCATCCAGTGATTATGTATAATAACCGATAATTATGCATAATCACCACTAAATTTGATAAATATGATGCATTTTTGAAAATTTATCAAATTAACCGGTTTGTTCGCATAATTCCCAACTCATAATGGTAAATGTGATAAAGGTCCCTAACTTTATGAAAATTCGATTAGGATATTGAAAATAGGCTAAGTTCTTGGTTGGAAAGTTTTATTTTGCTTGACGATATTCCAGATCCGTTCGAAACTGCGTTAGAAAGACATCTCTTTCTGGAGATCAGGGATATCAGCGATGATTTTTGTAAGGAACAGTGCGAGTCTGATAAGTGCAAATGTAAAAAACTCTGGCAAAATTTGTATATCTAAAGTGTCATAACAGTCTAATATGCTTCAATAAGTAAACTTAAAATATTTAGCAATTTGTAGTTATGGCATTTAACGTTATTTGAAAGAAATGTTTTTTTTCTCTCTCTAGAATATGGGCTTAGTTTGTTTTTTTATATGTAACTGTAGTTTGTTTTTTTATGTGCAACTGTTTTGTACAATTTCACGTAAATTGTATTCTTTTCATTTCACAACACCTGTCAGTCCCTTATTCAAATTTCGTTCTGGCTACGTAAATGTATGTGACTTAAAATTACCATTTATAAACTTTTTAATTGTAAACTATAAAATATTGTAATTCGTGGTCTCTTACACCATAGTATCCAACAAAAAAATATCTTTTTGAGGGGTAACTATTTAAAAAAAAAAAACTGCACTCTGTTATACTGGCCCAATCAATCATGATATTTATCACATTTACCATTACGGATTGGGAATTATGCAAACAAACCGGTTCATTTGACACATTTTCAAAAATGTATCCTATTTACCAAATTTAGGGGTGATTTTGCATAATTACCGGTTATTATACATAATCACCGGATAAATCACATTTACCGTAACACACACACAGAAAAAAATAAACATTTTACTATTATTTATGTAATAAGAAAGATTTAACTAAATACTTTTGATTTATTGTTACTTGTAAAGTAAAATACTTAACATTATCTGGAAAAAAAAAATTCGTGAAACTTTGTTATTGTAAGATTTTAAAAGAAATCGTGATTTTTTTTTTCGCTGAAAACACCTTTTTGATTGCTTTTAAAGCTGAAAGTGTAACATTCAATGAAAAATTTGAGATTAAGAAGCCTTGTTATGTGTTATAACGAACAGACGAACATCGTGACATGATGACAACGACATTTTTTTATTTAATTATGCCTGTTTTAAAGAGAATGGTCCTTTATTTTTCTTGGTGTGTTTTTAAATATTTTTTTTCGAGAACTATTTTCGAGAGTTCACTTTTGTAGATTGGAAACATTTTAATCCGAACCCTCCCCCATTGGAATAATTTTATAATCCACCTGACGTCTTTTTTCTGTGTGAGGATAACTAATATTTAAAAATATAAATGAAAATTACATAATTATAAATTATGTGATATTAAATGAAAAAAAGAAGTGTTTTATCCTACTTATATTGGCTCGTTATCTATTATGAGAATTAGCTTACCTATTACTTGTTATAATTTGTTCACTGTTATATTTATTCAAGTTGAAGTCTTTTTATGGTCAGAACTCACAGTTATACACTTGTGTAGGAATTAAGAGAATTATCAGACTTGGTTGATTAGCTCTAGAACTACTGGGCCGATTTTATGGAAATAATTTGATATGTGCATACATTGATACAATACAAAACAGATTCAACAATTGTAATACACACGCATGATTGTGCGTAACACACGTTGGAGTCGGAAGGTATGAAACAGCGATTGCAGAATAAACAACAACAAAAAATGGGTTAATAGGGGGTATGGTCCCCTCTTGCAGATATACAGCCCTTGCAGCTTGGTTTCATACTTGAAATAAGTATGCAGTTTATTATTTCCTGTGGCAATTTCATACCTTCCGACTCCAACGTGTGTTACGCACAATCATGCGTGTGTATTACAATTGTTGAATCTGTTTTGTATTGTATCAATGTATGCACATATCAAATTATTTCCATAAAATCGGCCCAGTAGTTCTAGAGCTAATCGACCCACAGTCTGCAGGTTCTCATGCATTTAGATAAAGTATTAGATTAAATGACTTCTGCTCTTCTATCTTTGATTTCCCATAATGTCTTAAAAAAAGTATAGAGGTCACAGATCTACATCTTAAAAAAAAATAGTAAAAAAATAAAAATAAATGACTTAGAGTGTTTATCAACATCTAAATTTACCACTACGGTCATAAACATATGAATAAATTACATTTAATAAATACCGCTTCTGTCTCACCTACGATTTTACAAACTCCACCTACGCTCGCACTTCGTCGACAGGGCCAACGTATCGACGGAAACTCCCAAATGACTAAAAAAAAAATTAAACTAAGCATCTTAATTTTGCGCCTCACAAAAGCAAAGCAGATCTCTTAAATTTTTTTACTCTTTCAAATAGTTAAGATGTTACATAGAATCCTGCAGTGCATCGAATAATTTTTGTCCAGGGGTTGTAACTTAAATATTCATGGAGTTATAGACATTTTTATTAAAGCTAATTTTTATTTTACTTTCGTTTTGTCTGTAGAAAAAAAACAATTTGCAATTTTTCATTAACTACAAAAATATCATTTTTAAATTTAAAAAAGGAAAGAAAAAAAAATTTGCAGTTTTTCATTAACTACAAAAATATCATTTTTAAATTTAAAAAAAGAAAGAAAAAAAAAACTCAGTTAAAATTGCTCACGATTTCCTTACATAATTATAGGTCCCAAATTTTATAAAATTCCTATAAAATTTAGAAGAATCACATATGTGTATATTACTTACCTAACTTAACCTGACACCATTTTCTCTAATTGCTTAAATAAAATTATTAACAATATTATTATTGTAGGTTTTTATTGAATTATCGCTAATAATTAACCGATTTTAGAATTTATTAAACAAAATAAAAATAATTCTATTGCGACTTTTGATTTCCAGGATCTTTTCAATAGCGTTCTCCTTTCTAAATTAAAAGATCTTTTGAGTTATTACTGCGATTTTAAAATTATCCTTAATTGCGATTTTGATTATTGAAAAATTATAATTAATTTTTGTGTTTTAAAAAATTATCTCTACAATGGAAAATATTTTTTTATTCAAATTCACGAAATACTACAAGGATCTAATTTTTCATTTCTCTTAGCTAATTTATTTTTAC